CAGCTTATTTTGTGATATTATGTCTATGAGAATAATCATTATTAAAATTTAAAATATATAATTATTTTACTAATATTAGCCTAATATTAGCCTAATATTATTAGATTAAATAGCTGTTTCACAAAAGGATTGATCCTTATGTAAAACTATTTCATCCTAAAAACAAGCGAATGATTGAACGCTACTATGAGGATGATGTTGATGATACTAGTAAACTTCCATATAATTGCCTAAATTGGGTATTATCTGATGAAGCTCTAAAAAAGTATAATTTAACTACAAAAGATTTTGATACTGATTATTCACCTGGTAATGAAGACCCAAGAAAAAAGAAAAAAAAAGTAAGCGAAAAGGGCAAAAAAACGAAGGAGAAAGTAGTGAGAAAAAAAAAGAAAAAGATATAGGTAGAGCGGGAGATATTGGGAAGGAAAAAGGTAGGGTAGGAGATATTGGGCAAGAAAAAGCTAGAGTGGGAGATATTGGGAAAGAAAAAGCTAGGGCAGAAGATATTGAGAAAGGACAAGATAGTGCAGGAATGAAAAGAAAAGGTATCCATGCAGATGACGATGATAGTGATAATGATAGAGTAGTACTATGAAAATGACAAAAGAAAAAAATAAAGAGAGACAAAAGAAAAAAATAGAAGAGGCTGAAGAAAGTGAGGATGAAACCTCTTCTGATGATTTGCTTTCTGAACATGAGGTAACCTTAAATGAACTATTAACAGCCGAAGCAGCAACAAAAATAACAGCAACAAAAATAGCAGCAGCAACAACAGCAATAGCAAAAACAGCAGCAACAAAAACAGCAGCAACAAAAACAGCAGCAACAAAAATAGCAGCAACAAAAACAGCAATAGCAAAAACAGCAGAAGCAACAACAGCAGCAACAAAAATAGTAACAGCAAAAACAGCAACAGCAAAAATAGCAATAGCAAAAACAGTAGAGGCAACAACAGGAAAAAGTGCTGACGAACCAATAGAGATAGTAACATCAGCATCAAGTTCATTAAGGAGTAAATCACCCTTAATAGGACCTAGTGAACTATCAATATCAAAAAAGGCAGCTAATAAAACTAAAAGAAACCAACCAAAAAAATATCTGAAGAAGATGATCTATTAATATTTGAAGCAGAAGAAGTTGAAAGTAAAGAAGTTAAAGATAAAGAAAGTGGAGAAGAAGGTGGAGAAAAAGGTGGAGAAAAAAGTGAAGAAGAAGCTAGAGAAGAAGGTAGAGAAGAAGGTGGAGAAGAAGGTGGAGAAGAAGGTGAAGATAAAGGAAAAAAGAAGAGAAAAAGGAAAGATAATAGTGATAAAAAGTTAAAAAGGAAGATGAAAAAGAGGCAATAGTTTATAAATGTATAATTTTTATTTTACTTTATGTATTTTAAGTAATAACTAGAGAATAAAT